AGGGTGCAGGTGGTAATCAGGGTGGATAAGCATCATTTTTACTCCTAATAAGTCAAAGGTGGTGTGTGGTCTAAAAATAATTAGATTTTTATGCTGTTTTTCTTAATTGAAACTTGGAACAAATAATAGAAAACACTTTTTTCCCCACATGCCCTGTGAAGTCACCTGTCATCAATCAATCCCCACCCAAACTCCTGTGCGGACAGTCTTTCCCCTGAAACCTATGTTTTTTCATCTTTTTAATTATTATTTATTAATTATTGCAGTAGTGACTGGGAGCCCCAATCATGATTAGGATCCTGCAGTGCTGCACGTTCCTTGCCCCTCAAAAACTTATCAGACATGTCTGAAATTGTTGGTGATTGGTATCCGCTCTATGCAAAGTTGTTGAATTTAGGGGGAGGTGTTAAATATTGTCCATAAATAGAGCAGCTGAAAAGACAAAACTTCACAACTCAATTTTTGGCAAATAATTGCCGAAGAAAAACAACCCACAACATTTACAACATTTGTATTTGTTAGGGAGAATAGCCAGACTGTCTTTTAATTCAGTGCTTACCCGTGAGAATTATTCCCACGAGGAATCCTGCAATAAAATCTGCTTGGTCTAGAAGAATAGAAAGAAATTGAATATGGAGACTCCATTTCCACTTGTATTTATTCAGTCTGGGAAATTCAGTGGGCCACAGCATTACTATCAGCAGGGGATTCCTTGCTCCTAGCGTTAAATTACTGTCATAATCGCTCAATTATTTCTTCCTTGTACTGTTTAAAATAAAAATCCATCACATTCTATGTATTTTTCCTAACATTTATTAGGTTCAGTGTTTAGGAAAATCAATTATAGCCAGCCAGGCATGAATTGATGAATGTTCTTGTAATAATTGTCAGTTGTTAAACTAAATGTACTTTCTCTTTTCACCTCCTTTTCATTTCCTTCAGAGGGCAGAGGTGGCTCAGAGAGAGGCAGAGACCTTAAGGGAGCAGCTCTCGTCAGCTAACAAATCTCTCCAACTTGCTACGCAGATCCAGAAGGCACCTGATGTGGTGAGAAAAAAATATTTACTTACTCTTACAGGTTTCTGACATTCCTGCAGTCCAGCTCTTTCAGCTTATGTTCACAGTTATAAAAATATCTGTTTGGAATAATATTTTAACTGAACCAGACTTGTGTTCCTGGGAACTGTAAATCGGTTACGTTTTTGTTGGACAAACTATTCATTGAGATTGGAGGGAAAGACGGAGCTTTGAAGTGGAAATCCCACCTGCTCTTTGGATGCTAGTATGATCTGGGCAGCTCTCAGCTACTGATTGGGGAGTCCAGGTAGATAGCAGCAGCTATCAGAGACTCTTTCAAATCGATAGAAGCTGCGACTGCTGAAAAAATTAAGCAATGCCACGCAGCAAGGCTTGAATTGGTAGGACATCAACTTGCAATAGGTACATAGACAGACATGAGGCTGTAGGTAGGCCATGTGACCTCAACTAGCCAATTTATTTAGCATTGCACTAGAGGCCTATCACAGCATCATGTGCAGTAGCATACAGTAAATCCTCATTTAACACTATACATGCGTTTCTGAAAATGTTCGTGCTAAGCGAAAACATGCTATGGGGGGGCGGGGGTGTCAATTTTCCCATTTAAAAATAATGGAAAAGGTTGGGGGTTGCGTTTCAGGTGGTGGTGGCGGCAAAGTCAATTTTTTATTGGTGCTGGGTCGTCAACATTAGATATCTAGCAACACAGGTCACCGCGGTTTGTTAAAACACAAAGATAAACACGTGAGTGAGCGGAGGAGCGCTGTGACCATGTGAATTCATCTGCTCATGCGTATTACCACTGTTTTCACCAGCTTATACTGCCGTGCGAAGTAGTCCACTACTTGATTATTTTCATGTTATTTCGGGGACGGTCGTGTTATTTGAAAAATGTTCCCTAAAAAAAAAATCGTGCTATTGCGAAAACATGTTAAGTGGGCACGTGTTAAAGAAGTAATTACTGTACTGTTCTTAGCATATGGCTTGAGTACAGGAGTGGGCAATACTTTTTGATGGGGGGCTCTCCAAGATTTTGGTAAGTGGTCAAGGGTTGCACTTTTCCACAGAGAGGGTGCAGGGTCTGTTATGGAGGCTGGGTGCAGAAGGGAGGTTAGGATAGGGGACTAGAGTGTAGGAGAAGGTGTGAGGTCTGAGAAGGAGTTTGGATGAAGGAGGAGGTTGTCATCTGGGGCAGAGACTTGGGGTGGGGATATGGGTGCAAGAGAGGATTCTGGCCTGGGGGAGGGATGTAGAAGGGGGTTCAGGTCAGGGAGGGAATTATGACCTGAGGGACGGGGTGCAGAGGTTTGGGTGATGACCTGGTACAGGAGGGTGCGGTGGCCTCGGGCAGGCAGTGGAGGAGAGAGAGGGATTGGGGTGCAAGAGGCAGGCTCTGGCCAGGAGGTGCTTACCTAGGCGGCTCCCAGCCAGCAGCCCTGCAGGACCCTGAGGCAGGCTCCCTGCCTGCCACAGTCCCAGGCTACTCAAAATGGCTGGCTACTCTCTGAGGCTCTCCTCCTGGGGCAGGGAGAGGCTTTGCATGCTCCACCTCCTCCCCTCCAGCAAAATCTGTCATCGCCTAGTGGCTTAAAGTGGCATGGGGCTGCTCTGTGTCTGAGGGGCCTGGCGGAGTAGCCCACAGGCCATATCCAGCAGCCTGACAGGCTAGATGTGGCCCATAGATCTTGCTAGTCCCTACTCTAAAAGAAAGTTTTTAAAATTACATCTTCAACCAGGACTGGGCAAAATACGGCCCGGCAGTCCGCCAAGTCATCAGATCCAACCCACAGACCGCCCTATTGGGACAGTCAGGCACACAGCTACCGTGGGTTAAAGCACAGTCCGTGCAGCTCTCTGCCTCTGCTTGGAGACGGGGGAATGCTTCCTGTGATCTCCCTGCCCCTAGCCCAATCTCTCAGCTCCTATTGGCTGGAAACAACTGGTCAATAGGAACTGACCCCAGCCAGTCTCTCAGCTTCTGGTGGCTGGAAAGCTGAGAGATTGGCCTCAGATATGGAGTCGGCACAAGCCTCTCCCCCCTTCAGGAGCTGAGAGCCACGTGGAGGGACAAGTCTGCAATTTAAAGTGATGTTGGGCTGCAGCAGGCAGGGACCCCGGCCTGCCTTGGGGGTGCTCCAGGGCTACTGGCCAGGAGACACTTAGGTAAGCACCTCCGAGCCAGAGCCTGCCTCTTGCACCCTTCTGCACGCCAACTCCTTCCCTCGGGTCACCATCTGAACCCTCTGCACCCAGATCACAACTCCCTCCCACACCCTGGACCCCCTCTACACCTGACCCAGATCACCATCCAAACCCTCTGCAGTCTGCACTCCCTTTTCCCCTTCTTCCAGGTCATAACTCCTTCCCAGACTTTGCACCTCCTCCTAGAGGCCCTCCCCCAAGCCAGAATCCGCTCCTGCACCCATATTCCTTTCCTGACTCTACATCCCAATCTCCTGACCCAGGTCACAACCCCCTTCTTCACCCAAACTCCCCTTCAGACCTCACCGTCTCCTGCACCCCAGTCCCTTATCCCGTGCGCCCTTCTGCACCCAACCTCCATTCTAGACCCTGCATCTCCTCCACAGAAAAGTGCAGCCCTTGACCACTTTCCAAAACCTTGGAGTGGCCCCCTCCAAAAATGATTGCCCACCTCTGTCTTAGACTGTGTTGTATCTTTCACCAAATATGTCATATTATATCAAGTTAGTTCATAAGCAAATAGGAAAAAATTAGCAAACTGATACAATATGCACTCTTCCTTGTTTTCCACTAAGTATTTTAAAACTAGCGGGTGAGGCCTGTCACTGACCCAGGCAAAGTCATTCTGAGTAGATTACACTTATAGGAAAGTTGAAGAAATTCAATATATAGAATTTGTTAGTACAGTAATGTGCTTGCAAAAGGAAAGTAGAAGAGAACAGTTTTAAAGTTATAGGATTTCAACTTTAAACATTATTCATTTCTATAGAAAATTACTGTATATAGTAAATTTGAATTGGAAATTCGTAAAGCTTCCATTACTCTTTCCATAACTAATTTGAATTATTTTGTGATTTGCAACAATAAAAATTTTCTTTGACCTAAAATGACAGTTGAATAAGTGACTCAATTTTAATTTTGTTACCCAATATTTTTTATGAACTCTAATCATAATAGTCATGATTTTTTTTCCGATGAAAACAAAAATAATTATTTAAACCTTTCACCCCGTTATTCCAGTGTAAAAAGTAGTGCATTCAGATAAGTTAAGTGGCAGGATTGTTTATGCAAATGTGGTATCTATAGGTAATTGAGAAGTTTATTTTGCACAAACAAACACTTGTCAAATTATAGGACTATGTAGCACTTTAAAGACTAACAAGATGGTTTATTAAATGATGAGCTTTCGTGGGCCAGACCCACTTTCTCAGATCAAATAGTGGAAGAGAATAGTCACAACCATATATACCAAAGGATACAATTGAAGGCTACATTTCTATTACTTGTCAATTTATGTAATAGATACACTTGTTTTGTTTTGGGAGATGGGTCACACAATTCCTTTATCTGTTTCACTGTCCAGGCACAGACTATTACATTCGTCGGTTTTTTTCTGGCTCAATAACCACCTAATTTAAAAGGACAATTCCTTTGGAGTTTAGCCTATCAAGGTGAATGGTAACTTAAGTATTGTTTACCTTAAATGGAAAATTGGCTCTGGTTGCAACTGACTAATCAAGCAAAATCGTGCTACTTTATATTATGAACCAAATATGTTCTCCCCTCCATATTGTACAGTAGAATACATAGTTGCCTTAAAAGTAATTTTTGGTACAGTCATCAGAAACCAGAAAGTCTGAAAAATTGTTTATGAGCCCTGGGAACTTCTCACTGAAGCCAACCAGAGCAGAATTCTAGGCCTAATAGTATAAACAAAAGGTCAGAATAAAAGCCTGGATATTGAATTACCTGTCTGTTCCCAGTTTATATTTCTGCATCTTATTATTCTAGTATTAGGTTTTTCTTGTATTTAATAGGACTTGTGCGCTTCCATTCATAGTTAATGTGACAGCTACTGCAGGATAAAAATGATCATTATCTATCTTATTTCAAACTGTATTCTGGTCTCAACAGAGATATGCACTAGACAGTTACACAACTTGTGATGTTTAACGCAACCAAATTAAAGGGTTTTTTTCCAGGTAAAAAGTATAATTCACTATAATAGGAGGGCATTGTTAACTGCTGTTCAGACTTCCAGCTCTCTGTGTGAGATACAGCACTATTATATAGACATTGGAACTCAAGCTAAGGGTTGGGAAGATATGGAAAAGGCATTTAGTTTATTTCTGCTCTAGAAAGTACATGGGTATCCAGTATCCGGCAGCGCCATTTGCTGTAATAAGAGGGACAGGATGTCAGTATTTCTGGGTTGAATTTTCACCACTGATTCATGGTGTGTGTTTTGGCATGTTGCTTGGGGGGTGCACTTAATCGAATAGTAAAATGGATACTCACTTCATTAGCATATTTGTGCGATTTTATTCCTTAGAAATTGTACATTCGTTTAGCAGTCTTGGAATGAGGATTGCTGTGGGAACACCAAGTATTGGGTTAGATCGTGCTCCCTAGATTGGAACATAGAATCCTATTCTTCCAAAATGGCATCCTATCTGATTATTTTTTAAAGCACAAGATTTCATTGCCAGAAAAGCACCATTACTAATAATCACTTAAGTGGAGAATTTTGTATCTCTTCAGACATTGACTCCTGCATCCTCCCAAAACCCATGCGATGTAGATAAGTCTGTTCTCTCCATTATCCCCATTGTATGCATGAAGCACCTGAGCCATAAGGAGCTTAATTTCCCAAATCTACAGAGTAAGTCAGTGGCGTATCTACTTAGGAGCATCTGGCATCAAGTTCCACACTTCCTCCTGATCCAAGGACTTCCAGTTTGAGCTTGCTGCTTTTATTGATATATGATTTCTTTCCCATTAGGAGCAGGCCATAGAGGTGTTGACAAGATCTAGCTTGGAGGTGGAACTAGCTGCAAAAGAACGAGAAATTGCTCAGCTGGTCGAAGATGTCCAGAGACTCCAGGGCAGCCTCACCAAACTTCGTGAGAACTCCACCAGCCAGATATCCCAGCTGGAGCAGCAGTTGACTGCCAAGAACAGCACACTTAAAGTAAGGATCAGTTGGGCATTCAACACAGTTCGCTCAGTCCTTATTCAGAGCAAGGCTCTTAACGGAAACACATAGTACAGGCAGTCCCCGAGTTACGCGGATCCGACTTATGTCGGATCCACACTTACGAACGGGGCTTTCTCGCCCCGGAGCTCGCAGGCAGCGGGACCGCCCAGAGCGCAGCGGTCCCGCCACCTCGACCTCCGGGGCGAGAAAAGCTGCTCCGGGTGGACATGCTTGATTTGCATCCCTCTGTTGATAGAGGGATGCAGTCTAGATGTAGCTTTAGAGACAGGCATAAGTATTGCAATAATACCAGACGTAAGTCTTAGGTGCAATGAAATCTTTAACTGGGTATCCAGTTGTCTTCAGCTGTAAAGGAATGTTTTCACTTTTTCATCTTATCAGAATGCCTGGACTTCTAACAGTATTTTATAAAGCAAATTGTTGTCATAATTTCTAGACACTGAGCATTTTTTTAAACAATTGTTGCTTCATATTTATGTTGCAGATGTACCTAAAGGTTGACCAAGTCAGAGCTCTATTGAATTAGGTAGATACAGGCATGCAGAAAAAGCTTCTAAGTGCGCCCCCCCCAGAAGACCAGGCTTTTGTTGTTGACCCTGGGGTAGAGCAGCTGGGGTGCTGCCGGATAGGTCCTGCAGGGACCTACCTGGCAGCCCAGCTGTTCTGTCCGAGGCTCGAGATTCAGCCACTGTTGAAACTGATCAGTGGGTGATTCCAGGAAGCTGTGGGCAGAGCAATTCTGCCTCCAGCTTCTGTAGTCAGCCCCTGGTCAGTTTCAGCAGCAGCGGCTGAATCTGGAGCCAGTTCCGACTTACATACAAATTCAACTTAAGAACAAACCTATAGTCCCTATCTTGTACGTAACCCGGGGACTGCCTGTAGTTCACTCATGCAGATTTCATCATGCATTGTAGTTGTGAGTGGCACAGCATGTTCTTCGAGTGACTGCCTGTGTACATTCAGCTCTAGGTGTGGGCATGCCTGAGCATAGTCACTGGACGCTTTTCCCTCAGTAGGATCTGTTGGGACAAGCTTGAGCACCCTCTGCTACACCACGTTGAGCACATTGGCATAGGCCAGCCAGCCAGCTCCAAGCCCGTTCAGTTCCTTCCTACTGCCTATGAGAGTAGCTGGGACTGGGATCCTTGCTTGTGGAAACTCTCCATGATCTTTTACTTCTTTTTGGTAGTTGCCAGTTTTTAGTCCGTCTTTGCTCATTTTAGTGATGTTCTGTAACTTATTGTTTTAGCAGAGTTTTAGTGGTTCCCTGGTTCCAAGGCATGCATTGATCACTGGGCTCTGAGCTGGGTGTCTCCTGAAACAAGGTGGTCCTCCTGAGCAACCTAAAGGGCTTGGAAGAAGCTCACATTGGGGACCGTTGCCAGATCTGTAAGGACTAGAGGTGTCTAAGTCTCGGCTTGACAAAGCCCTGGCCAGGTTGATTTAGTTGGGATTGGTCCTGCCTAGAGCAGGGGGCTGGACTTGATGACCTTCTGAGGTCTCTTCCAGCTCTGTGGTTCTAGGATTCTATGACTTGGAGCCTTGGAGAAGGAAGACTGGGAAGCTAGGCTAGAATTTTTGTTCCATCTCAGCCAGGCCAGTCAGACTTTGCATCTAATGTCTCAACATCAACAGGGATTGCTCCTTCTACCATACCAAAGTCCTGGCATTAATCACATCCTCAGTGCCAAGGACACAGATGGTCCGGGGGGGGAGGAGTGAACCCCAGCACCGAAGACAGCCAGGCATGAGAATCAGAGGGGAATGCGATCTAAACCAAAGCACACTCTGCCTTGATACCGCAGACATTGGCATTATCGACTGTGGGACCTGTGCAGGCACATTCAAGTCCAGCACCAGAAGAGCTGTCTACATCTGTGGTATAGCATGACCACACCAGAGACATTTGCTGCTGTCAGAGACTTTTTTTTTCTATCCTATCAATACCAGTATTGTTGGCAGTACAACAGATGGTGTTATCAGTGTCTGGGGACAGAAGGGAGGCTGGCTTCAGTGCAAGCATCTCTAACGTGGCACTGGTCTTGCTGAGGAAAGTGGCTTTAAGTTTGGGCATACAGGCAGCGGTAGTGAGTCCTCTCATAGCCTGTTTGACAAGTTAGCAGCCCTGGGCCGCTCAGAAGTAGGGATGTGAAAGTGTAACATATAACAGTTAACCGATAAGCCTGGGTTCATCGGTTAATCTTCACAGTTACACGCAGGCTCCCGGTATTTGTGGAAGCTGGCTTAAAAGCCAGCTCCTGGCACACACCAGCTTCCAGGAGCCGTGTCTCCTCCTCATTCCCCCTTCCCCATGGAAGGAGAAGTAGGCCACAAGGAGCCAGTTTAAAAGCTGTCTCCCCATGTGCACGGGCTCCTAGGGAGTCTCCTCTGTCCTCCCCCACGCTCCTGCCTCTGCCTTGGAGGGCGGGGGGAGGCAGGAGCTGATGCTTAAATTTTCAGCAGTTACATGTTTACTTGATTAATTGCATTTTAACATCCCTACTCAGAAGTTGCCCTGCCTGTCAATGAGGCCATTATGGATCTTGCTAAGTCCATTTGGCAGATCCGAACCTCCCTACCCTCCACATCCAAAAGAGCTGAACAAAGATTTTTTGTTCTTGCCCAGGGTTATGAGTTCCTGTGCACTCATCCTTCCCCTCCCGCAAGATCCCTGGTGCTATCTGCTGCCAGTGGGAGAGAAAGGCAGGTTCCCTTGGTTCCAGCCCCAAAATCAATACTTGGGAAAATTAAATAATCTTGTTTGGCAGGAAAGATTATTCAACTAGGGAGTCACAATTCAGTATTTCAAACCAGCATTGGGCCGATATGATTTGAACGTGGGATTGCATGCAGAAATTCAAGGACTTGCTCCCACAAAAAAGGGTAGGCAAGGCTTCTGCTTACTGGTGAGCCAGGGAAAATCAGTGATGAGGGCCTCGTTGCAAGTTGCTTCAGATGCGGCTGATTTGACAGCTAAGTCCGTGGCTTAGACATACAAGGTTCAGCCTCTCCTTCGTGTGGGATCTGCAGTAGAGTTTCTACAGAATTTAAGAGGGAAGGGATTCTACTCCCATTATTTCCTAATCCCAAAAGCCAAGGGAGGTTTCAGACCTGTTTTTAGATCTGTGGCACCTCCGATACTATTTCTAGAAAGTAAAGTTCCACGTGGTCACCATGGCATCCATTATCTCCCCTCGATTTAAGAAATACCTATTTTAACTTATCGATACACCAAGGACACAGACATTTCCTCAGATTCATAGTGAACCACTTACACCACCAATTCCTGGTCATCATACTCTGTCTGTCTGTGGTTTTGTGTGTGGTCACAGAAAGCTTGGCAGTAGTGGCAATTTTTCTCGGGAGATTAGTGGTGTAGTTCCATTCTTATGTAGATAATTTACTAATCAAGGCCAATCCATGGCTCAGGTAGTGTCTAACTCACCCGTGGCCTTCTCATACACAAGGCTGCACCTCAGACCCCTCCAGAGATAGCTGGTGTCAGTGTACTCCCCAAATCATCACCATATGGACCCTGTACTCAAGGTATCTCAGTGCCTTCTCATCTCTCTCCTGTTGGTGATTGTGCAGTCACTCGATGTCAATGTTGTTCTTTGAGATGTGTTGCACATGTCCATTCCATCACCCTTCTGCCTCTCTACGTTGGAGTTTTTCCAGAAAAAAAGGCACAGAGGGGGTGCCAGGTTGGCTTGGCACTTTGTATTGGCGCTATCAACAAGTGGAACGGTGACTTTTCTTGGAGCATGCACAGACCTGGAGTGGAATGGATTTGTGCAACATATCTGGAAGAATAAGTTACAGAAAGTAACTTTTTTTCTTCGTACTAAGCCATTTCTTCAGAATGTAATTTAATTGCATTTTTACTGACATTTTGTGGGGTTTGTTTTAATGACTTTTTTTTTGTTGAACTCACTCTGCTTGTTTCCAGTTATATTTTAAGTTCATTTATATTTATACTGTTTTTAGTTCAGATCCTTTCTGATTAATTTTCACAGAACAGTAAAATTACTGTAATTAGGATAATTTAAAAACCTAACTACAGTACTATGTATATGTCTGAAAAATAACCAACCAAAAAGCACACAGCAAATCCTTTCAGGATTTAAAACTGACTAAGTTATGCCTTCTTTCAGTATTACTGTTTAGTTAAGGACATCTGTCATTCAGTCAGCCTGTAACTGATTCCAGCTAGCCATTTCTAGCCTTCCAGCTAGCCTTTCTCCCACTGGAAAAAGGGACTTATCTTCTTTGGATGCACAAACCCAAGAAAGCATGAGGAGTGAAAGGAAGGATTTTAAACTTATTAGAGCATATTTTTTTCATTTTGACTCTTTTTTTTTTTCCCCCTAAGATAGTATCTTATTTGTAGCAAGTATTGCAGTCCTGGGCATTCAGCATATCAGTCAGTAGCACTTTTGCTGAAAACCACAAGGACGGTATATCTAACTCTTTCTTGAATGACCCCATTCTCTTTTGTTTCCATGGCCTGTCTTTGTGCACCATTCCACACATTTCTGATCTGTCAGTAAGCATGAGAAATGTTTTCCTGACATCTGTTGTGAATCAGTTTCCGCTGACTTCTGTCTCTTTCAATGTTCTACCAGCTATAAGATGAGAATAGAAAATTCAGTTAATTTCGCTATTGTATTAAAGATGTCTTAGTTTTTGGAAGTAAGCAATTTTAGCATTCCTCAAAATCAGAGGCTGATAGTGCCAACTTAAGCCAGCCATGGCTTGGGCAGTTACTGTCTAGCCCTTCTGTATCCAAGTGCCTCAGCTCTCAGTTGCAAACCTTGACACATTGTTCTAAATCTGACATTCTTCAGAGGTACAGTTAACTTCAATTGGACTAAGTTTGGTCCTTTAGCCGACCTGATGACAGGGCATTTCATTTCAATAATTTTCATAATTAGGTTTGCCAGCTAATGCTAATACTTTGATATCTTGATTCT